AGCCAGGCCTGCTTCATCTTCTAATATCAAACAGATAGAAAAGTCAAAAACCATTGACCAGTGCAGGCATACTATAGCAAAAGCAACTATCAATAGAAGGGCTCAGCCCAAAGAAACCGTAGAAGAAAGAAAAGCTCGTCTGAGTGAGTGGAGAGCTAGCAAAGGAAAAATGTTGAAAAGGCCTCCTAGCTCAGTAATAACCCAGCCTAAACCTGAAGGACAGAATGAAAAACCAGTTGGGTCATTTTGGACTACCCTGGCAGAAGAAGATGAACAAAGATTACTTACTGAAAAAGTAAACAAGACATTTTCTGAATGCCTAAACCTGATTAATGAGGGATGCCCCAAAGAAGAAGTATTAAACATACTGAGTGACCTGATTAAAAATATTCCAGATGCCAAAAAACTTGTTAAGTATTGGATATGCCTTGCACGTCTTGAACCACTCACAAGTTCTATCGAAAATATTATCTCAATCTTTGAGAAGGCCATCCTGGCAGGAGCTCAGCCTATTGAAGAAATGCGACATGTAATTGCAGATATTCTAACAATGAGGAGTCAAGAAAAAGTTAAATTTGGAGAAAATCCTGAGGAGGCTTGTGCAACCAAGGAAAAAATCCAAGAAGTCAACATTGAAGATATTGGTGTTAATCTAGAGTCAGGAAAACCTGAAATGGAAAATAAACATCATAGAAATGTGGTATTTCAAGATTGTAAAAAAGAGCAAGTACACAAAACAAAAGATCCAACCAATGATGTTAAAACCCCCAACAAAGAAACTAGGGGGGATTGCTTAATTAAATATATTGTGTCTACTACACCATACTTGCAAAGTGTAAAAAAGAAAATGCAGTTTGACGAAATAAATTCTACATCTAAAAAGCTCAAGTTTCTAACACCAGTTAGACGTTCTCAGAGACTTCAAAACAAGACTTCTAAATTGCCTGATATGTTAAAAAACCATTATCCTTGTGTGTCTTCATTGGAACAATTAACAGAGTTGGAGGATAAAACTGATGCTTTTATATGCCGCCCTAATGCAGCACTTGGCCGGATGTATTTGGAGACTGAAACAATAGAAGACAAATGAAGCTATGATAAGAACTAAGGATTTTATTATTCCTGGGGTGTTTGTTGTGGGTTCATATGTATTAGTTCAGGAGTTGGCCATGTTACCTAAGTATTCATGGCAGTAAACTCCTTTATAATATTCACATCTATGTTCTTTTAATATAATTAATAAATGTCATTCTATTTTCAATGGTATTTCTAAAATAACTACTAGTTAAGTTTTTATATTACAAAAGAAGTTTAACTGTTAAATAATGTCCCCTGAAACATGAGGCAAGGGGGGGCAAAGGGGCCCCTTTTTTTGGTAAAAGCTTTTTTTATTAAAAAAAAATTTTTTTTTTATTGATTAAAAGGCAAATGGTAATTAAGTTTGCAGAGGGAACTGAGTGTGTTCCCTCAGCTGACCTTAAAGTAGAGCATATCCTGGATTACCCAGGTGGGCCCAATGTATTCACAAGGGTCCTTAGAAGAGAAGAGGGAGAGACAGAAGAGATTCAGGAGGCAAAGGGGGGCCAGGGAGCCAAAAGGGGGCCAAGGCGGCCAAGGGGAGCAGGGCGGCAAAGGGGCCCCTTTTTTTGGTAAAAGCTTTTTTATTTAAAAAAAATTTTTTTTATTAAGTTATTACATATGTGTCCTTATTCCCCACTACCCCCCATTACCTCCATCCCCCCACTCATGCCCCTTCTTCCTAATAATTCAAAGTAGCACCAAAACTATTGATAACTACAATTTTAAGAAGTAATAATGCAGAGCTCAAGAAAACAGGCAGTCTCTAAAGTCAGAAAGCAAACTTATTTCCACTAGAAAAGCTAGAAGTATTGTCTCTAATGAGAAACACCAAACACAGTTGTCTCTTTCTCTTCACACAGTAAGATATCAAATTAACTTGCATGCAGTGCTCATTAATTTACCCGGTAGGTGTTTTGAAAACTTACCAGACTCACCTTAAACTATTAATAATGTTCTCCAACTGCCTCAGCTTTAAGAAAAAAAATAAGGATGGTAACTATTCAAATAACCCTCAGAGTTTCCCTAGCTCCCAGACATTAACTAAAATCCTTGGGCCTTTCTCTTCTATATCACCCCAGGAAATGTAATAGGGTATGGTAGGCAGAGCAATGCTTCCCCCCAAGGAAGTCCATATCTTAACTTATGACTATCTTAGATTACAAGGCAAATGGTAATTAAGTTTGTAGAGGGAACTGAGTGTGTGAATCAGCTGACCTTAAAGTAGAGCGTATCCTGGATTATCCAGGTGGGCCCAATGTATTCACAAGGGTCCTTAGAAGAGAAGAGGGAGAGACAGAAGAGATTCAGACGGAGACACAGCTATGGAAAGGGCCGCAGAGACCTGAGGTGGTTGGAGGAAGAGCCCACTGCCAAGGAATGTGGGGAGCCCCTGGAAAAGGTAAGGAAACAGATTCTCCACTAGAACCCCCTGCTAATTGCCGCCCTAATGCAGTACTTGATTTTCAGCCTTGTGAGATCTCTGTTAACCTTCTAACCCATAGAAATTGGAGTTGTTTTAAGACAGTGGGTTTAGAGCAGCAACACAAAACTAATACAAAAGCAGAGACTCCCAAGGATGTCCACATCTTTTCAAATGGAAATTGTAAAATTAAATGCATGCCAAGTAGACTGTTTTTTGAGGTTCCAGAGAACTTGTCTCTTCCTAATCAAGTTTTATCTGTTACATGTTTCCTTTCTCCATTATATTTAATGAAGACCCTAAATAAAGATGTTGACAATGTATTGGGCACTCTGTGGGCTAAACATTTTACTAACATAAAGTAATATTGAAAAAGAACCTGTTAAAGTTGAATCAGATCCTACCAAGCTATTATCCAAGTTTTTATCAAGAAAGGGTGTTGGATTTTGTCAAATGCTTTTTCTGCATCAATTGATATGATTATGTGATTTTTGTCTCTCAATTTGTTTATGTGACGGATAACATTTATTGATTTGCAGATATTGTACCATCCTTGCATCCCCAGAATAAATCCCACTTGGTCATGGTGCATGATCTTTCTAATGTAATGCTGGATCTGATTTGCTAGAATTTTGTTAAGGGTTTTGGCATTTATGTTCATGAGGGATATTGGCTTGTAATTCTCTTTCTTTGTAGTGTCTTTATCTGGTTTTGGTATTAGGGTAATGCTGGCTTCATAGAAAGAGTTTGGAAGTGTTCCTTCCTCTTGAATTTTTTGGAATAGTCTGAGGAGGATAGGTTTTAATTCTTCTTTGAATGTGTAAAACTCCCCTGTGAAGCCGTCCAGACCAGGGCTTTTGTTTGTTGGAAGTTTTTTTTGATTACTGCTTCAATTTCAACAGTAAATTAAATGAGGCACGTGGCCCGCTGGCTGGGAGTTTGACATGCTGGTTGTCCAGTTTGTTGGAGTAGAGTTGTTCATAGTTTTTTACAATCCTTTGTACGTCTGTGGGAAATCGAACTGTGACCTCTTGGTTCAAGGTCCAACACTCAACCTCTGAGCCACACCAACTGACCATGCTTCATAAACATTTACTCAAACAAATAAATCTAGTATGTCACAAAAAAATGTATACACACTTTAACAGCCTACAGCTCAATTTTGAAAATGAAATGTATTTTAATAAACACTACTTTTATAATTATTCAACGTGTGTATGTACATATTTTTGGGACATCCTGTATATTCAAGACACTCTTGTGGGCACTGTGAGGGTTATACAGGTAATTTATTGTCCCCTCCAGGAACTCAGACTAGGAGAAACTAGTTAGGTGCCTAAATCGCCATAATACCAGGAGGAATGTGCTAAGTGCTCCGTATAGAAACAAAAATACCTCCATAGAAACGAAGAAGAGGGAGAGGGTAATTCAGCTGGAGATACCTATATCTACACAGGTTTTCTGGAGAAGTTGTTGTTTGAGATGGTCTTAAAGAAAAGGTAATCATTTCTAGGATGGAGGATGGGAAGGAATGGTATTTTAGACAGATAGAATAGCAGGAAAAAGGCAGCATAGAGGAATAACATTTATTGATGGGATATGTTCAAGGAATGGCCAATGTCTGGGTAAAACTGGAGCATAGGTTGTATGGGGTGGTGGGAGAAGGTGTGGGATAAAGGCCAGGTGATGTCTGACCTTGGATATTACTGAAGTGGACATTTTGGACTGCTTAGCATTTTTTCATGTACTTCCAGTAGCAACCCTTGATTTTCACTCAGGGATTTACTCCACCTTATTCTCAGTCCATATTGGTTGGTCAGGGAAGGTCCCATTTCACACACAGTCCAGACCAACCAATGCTTGGCACAACACTGCTGACAGTGACACATGTCCACATTAGACCACTTAAAGCCCCAAACTCTCAATTTTTCTTACAATTTGTACTTAACATATGGGAGAAATGAGTTCCCCTTTTTCTAGGACTGAACCTAGGAGTGTGCAGGCTGGAAATACAGCACCACACAGCATGACCAAGAAAGAGACCAGAAATTAATAATAATAATAATAATAATAATAATAATAATAATGCAAACCTGAGAGATGGAGAGAAACTAGTCCTGGCGAAATCAGCATTTCTGCTTAACTTCTTCATCACATGAGGCAATAAATGTACATAACCTCCTTCTCCTTAAATTTCCTTAAGCCCAGTTTGAGTTGCATCTTTTTCTACTTTCAGCCAAAAGAGATTTGGCAAGCACAGCCATGCTAGGAGTTTTTTATTTTATCCTCTGGGAGATGGATTTAATAAAGGGATTCACATGGGCTGGTGACATGAACCAATATGTGTTTTGTCGAGCTCACTCTGACATCTGGTGGAGAGACAAATACTCTGAACTCTGAAGCTAGATGGACCTAGATTTGAACCCCATTTAGCCCTGTGATTTCAGGAAGTGTGTCAGTCAGGACTTTACCAGAGAGACAGAACCTGTAGGAGGATATGGGGAGTGGAAGAGCGAGGGAGGGAGGAAGCAAGGGAGGGAGGGATTGATTGATTGCAAGGAATTGGCTTTTGGGATTGTGGGGACGGGAATCCACAGGGCAGGTCAGCAAGCTGGAAACTTTCAGGTAGGAGCTGAAACAGCAGTCTATAGGTGAATTTCTTTCTCCTTTAGGAAACCTCAGTTTTGTTCTTAAGGCCTTTTTAACTGATTGGAAGAAGCCTCTTCAGATTATTGAGGATAATCTTCATGTAAAAGTCGACTGATTGTAGATAGTAACCACATCCACAAAATATCTTGGCAGCAACACTTAGATTTGATTTGGTGTTTAGTTAAATAACTGGGTACCAAGTTAGCCCATAAAATAATCATCATAGGAAGTTACTTAATTTTCTTATGTCTTTGTTTCCTCAGCAATAAAACTGAGATACTGATCCTTACTTACCTCATACATGAAAATACATGTAAAGCAGAACTGTGCATAAAGCAGAGCATAGTGCTTGACACAGTAGCAGTTCAGTTTATGGGCATCAGTGAAGAGGTCTTTGCAGCAGTTTTGAAGTGCAGGGTTTGAGTTGGATAAGAGTATTTTTTCCAAGCTGGATACCTTCTTTTTAAAAAAATATATTTTATTGATTTTTTACAGAGAGGAAGGGAGAGGGAATAGAGAGTTAGCAACATTGATGAGAGAGAAACATCGATCAGCTGCCTCCTGCACACTCCCCACTGGGGATGCCCCTGCAACCAAGGTATATGACCTTGACCGAAATCGAACCTGGGACTCCTCAGTCCACAGGCCAATGCTCTATCCACTGAGCCAAACCAGCTATAGCCAAGCTGGATACTTTTAAAATCCTATATAATAAAAGGCTAATATGCAAATTGTCCCCTCGACCCCCCCCACCCTACCCGTGCACGAATTCGTGCACCAGCCTCTAGTGAAAGTAATAGAAGTACATGTGGGCTGGGGGGAGTCAAACCAGTTCAAACTGGTAGTCAGGTTTGAAAAACTAGTCTCCCTTCTAGTCCAGAATCTCAGGACTTTTACTCAGAAGTAATTGTCATTGATACTTTCCTACTACACACACACACACACACCTTTTTTCTCCCTGAATCTTGGTGTTTTAATTTAATAGTACATCTTGGAGAATGTTCCATTTCAGCATATACAAATCTACTTCTTTCTAAAAATGGCAGCAAAATGTTCCATTGTGTAGTTAAGCAACTATTTATTTAATAAATCCTCAACTGATGGTCATTTAGATTAC